CCCCCCCCTCCCCCCTCCCCCCTCTTCCCAAAAACAAAAAACTGCCGAGTCCTATCATTTTTAGATTGTGTTATTCGTATAATATCTTTTTAGATTTATATTATTTTTTATATAATTTATAAATCAAAAATTGCATACTTTATTTTTTCTCAACCAAATTCACTGCTTATAAATTTTTATATATTAAAATGAATACATTTCTTTTCTGAAGCCTTCAATTGTATTTACAATTCATTTGCTATCCTATTCCTACTCATTTTTAATTGTACTAGATAAAACAAAATATCAAACATTATATTTTTACAATGCCAGTCAAATGGATTATTCGTGCTAATTATTTCACCATAGATTGCTCACTTGGTACAGTGAATTGCAATTGTTCTGGTTCAACTTGCCCTCTACCACCATTGATTAATATATCTCATTTGATGCTCCATGATCATATGAAACTTGGATTAACCCATGCACATGGCTAGCATAGCATGTGCATCCTTCTAAGGTTTGCATTGTGTTAGCGAATCAAAAAAAAACACGTGGTTATGACGATTATCCGTTATTCAAAATATATGAACATCTATGAACATAGCCTCGGTTAGGAGTGTCTATGGGTCGGGTTGGCCCACGATTTTTTGTTACTCGACTTGAAAAAATAGAATTAAAATTCGATAAGTCCAATAGTTAGTCTACTCAAGCCCGAACCCAATATTCTTCAACTGAGGGTTTTGGCTTACTCTCAAATCCATTATCTAGCCCGAAACTTGACCATGAGCGAGACTCTTTTTGTCCCTTTTAATCATATTTTTAATTCAAAAATGTAATTTACAAAAATATTAAGATTTGGGAACTGCGATTTAACAAATTTTTAGATTTGGTTGATGTTAAGTGCATTTCCCTTCTTTTTTTTCTTCTTTGAGGAGGCGACATCTGTCATTTAATATCCTGTCCTGCAGCTGTTGCACTAAGAATTTGTTAATCGACTCTAAAGTCTAAAGTGGGTGAAGTGACCAATGGGTATTGGACACGAACGGTATATCAAGGAAGTAGTGCTCTCAGCCCTTCCTCCCTGTCCTTAAGAACCCGATATTATCCCTGTGAGAAGTCATTTTTGTATAAGTAACGCATGCCACCTTGGCCCACACCCTTGTCGAAAATAAAGTTTATGGTGTCGACCTCTTGTCCGTTAGCAAGTGATTCCTCGTATGTGTTAAGGCGGATAGACCGTCTCATCTCATTCCCTCAAATGGTAGATCAAACTTCGAGCATGTCACGAGAGCTATTTTTTTGTTGAGCTGTTACTGTTTAATGTTACTATATATATATATATATATATATATATATTTTTTTTTTTTTTTTCATAACCCGTGTTTGAAGATACGATGAAATATAAAATTTTAACGTTTAAAAAATTAATCTCACTATGCCAAATTTAAAATTAATTTCTACCTATTATTATTTTAAAATAGCGTCAAAATTTTCTCAAAATGCATAACTCAATAAAATTATATATATATATAATCGTGTATAGATAATATCTGAAATAAAAATTATGTTAAACAACAAATTAATTTAATATTAAATGATTGAACAAATTAAGTGATGGTTTTGAAGGAAAAAATGTATAACGGATAAAAATCAACTTTTTGTGTGTTTTATTATATATATGATAGAAACAAAATTTTAATGCTAGTACAATTCCTAAGTTAGGAGTTGTTAATACTAATAGGGTTCGTTTGATTGTCGTATTAAAAATAGATGAATTTGATTAAATAATACGGTCTAATACAATACATATGAATAAAAGACAAAATTAAATATGATATTAGAATAATACGTAATTTTATCTAGTATTTGACAATACACAATATAAATATTGTATAGTAGTTATTTAATCCAATCAGTTATTTGGTTAAAAAATTATTTCATCGTATTAATGTTGAATTAACAAAAATATCTTCAATCAGTGTTTGTTACATTGATGGCAACTTAATTTTATTACTTAAGGGGTTATAATAGTAAATGTGTAGAATAATACGTTGGAATTGAATTTTAATACCACCTCTCTTGGTGGTATTATAAGACCTCTATAATACAGATATACGATAAATATACAATTAATAAACATTTTTGAAATTAATACGATATCAAATTTACTTATCAAACAAAGTATTATGACCGATTAAATAAAAAATAGTACAATCCAATATTTAATCCTCTCATAATACATTTATTTACCAAACAAGCCCATGTAATTCCCAATTTAATAGTTGTTAATTTTTTCAAACAATTTTTGATTAAATATAACTATTGAAGACATTTTGAACAATAAAGATCAAAATAAACTTATTCTCAAACAAGTTTTTTGAGTATATTTAAATCCAAATAAGTCTACAAAAAAAGATTAACTTCCAAAAGACCCTTTAATCTTTGATTTATACTTTATTATTGATCTCTAAAATTTTGGGCCTTTTTTTTTTTTGGGACCCAAGGACCATACTTTTTTGGCTTTACTGTTGAGCCGGCCTTGGATTCAACTCATGCTCCATTAACTGCTGAAAACTTGAAAGAAATGAATTGTACATGGCTTTTCCAAATAGTTGTGTTGAACCAATCAAGATATTCAGTAAAACTAAGGTAATTTCAACTGTTACACAGAAATCTATCTCGCGCAAGTACTGCAATTACGAACACAATGGTGTTAATGTCACATTCCAAAGCATTTTAGCACTGAAGAGGTTAGGGAAGACGAAATGAATTTCAGCCCCGCAGATCCACCGGGAAAGTAGGATATAGCATAGTACGCCAGCGCAAGAACCTACACGGATGGGAAAACATCAGCCTCCCCACTTAAATTGCAAAACATAAAGTACTGTCTCATATCTGCTTAAAGAAGTTAATTAAACTTTTTACACTACGGCATCATAGGAACATTCACAGAAAATAAATAGTATATCACTGAAGAGCCACAAAAAAAGTAGGAAAAAAAATTCTAAAAGCACATACACTCCTAAGGGATACAATAAGTAAGCAAGAAGTTTGATACCTGTAGCACAGAGAAGAAGACAGAGAGAATGTAACTATGAAGAAACATCGAAACATAAATGGTACCCATCATGCTGCCAATGAATCCCAATGTAAAGGGAAGTCTCTGATATAAAGGATGGGAAGAAAGGATGAGAGAAAACACCAAAAAGAACAAGAAATGCATAACTACAATACCAATTTGATACCTCTTTTGATGACATGTGGGTAAACTGGTTCTTTGGACCTCTGAGTGCAAAGAATGATCCAATGATAAAGGCACATCCAAGAGTAAAGCAGATTGCAAATTTCTGAGGCACCAGTACTATGACTGGAAGGAACAAGGCAAATGCGATGAACACAAAGAACACTCCAGATGCCAGGAATAAGCCAAAATACATGAGAGATTTCCCAGAAGGGATACTACTGGTGGCAGACTGCAAGTTTCCAGGCATGTCTCTCACACCTTTTGAAACCCTGAACAAAAACCAAAACAAGAATGTATAATGAAAAGTTACTACTTAAAGTTAAGAAAAAATAATTTGACATGGCCTCAGTGCATTATTTACCGCCAATTCAAGGAATGCTTTTTGCAACAAGGGAGAATATTCAATATACATAGGTTCTGTGGTATATTGAAGTTATTTAAAATATAGTACATCACGCAAATTAAATATAAGCACCTACACCCAAAGGCTCACACGATCACCTAAAGTGCACCTTGCCAAAAGCTTGCACCATCACCTGAAGCGTATATGCAACAAAATCAAGGTAGAGTTGGGATCCTTGAATAATTAGAAGAATCCTTGTGTGGGGTAAACTTTCAATTCAATGAATTTCATACGCATGGACACGCCATCATCAAATACACCCTCTTTTAAATCACAACTTAAGAACAGTTCTTTAGGCAGTGACGAGAAAAACCATCCAACATCAAATCTTAAGTTATTGAGACCCCTCCATTTACTTTGTCCAAGAAACAGTCACACAATAAAACTTGCCTTGCACCAGAGTACAAGGCAAGCATAAAAGAAAGCAGATAATATCTAACACCATATACACAAATTCTACCAAAATATTCCTTCAAATACCTTAGAACTTGGACAAGAATGGTGTCTCTTCTGTGCATGCATGCGCATCAGAGTGTGAGTGAGTGAGAGAGAGAGAGAGTTGCAAGTGATATACTTAATTAGACATAGTCTCGGTCCAGTTCCCAAATATGCAAGTTCACATTCTCATACAGAAGTGGACATATAACACATGCTAGAATATTTCTAATACTCTCCTTAGAGGAAAAGCAAGTCATCATAAATAATCAACAATCATATAGATCATCACAAATTGGATGCCCCCAAAAGCATTGGCAAAGGCATGCTTATGACTCGCTTCATATTATATGCACATATCAGATCATAAGAATGCATTCTATGTTCAGCATATTGGTCAAGGGAAATTTTTTTATGTATTTCTCATAATACGTTCTACGAATTCATATAATCAGTCAGATTCCAGAAAAGATAAAGCTATGGAACTAGGTTCCCCAATAGATCATTCAACTAAAACACAGATATAATCAAACTCAGTAAAGATCAACAGTGACCATCAATCACAGACAACCGAAAAATCCAATTCTAACATTTTATGTTCTTTTACAACATTCAATTCAGATAAATCACGCTTATCAGGTTAAAAATCTGGTCATAAATCAGCCAGAGCCACTATATTATCTATATTCCTTCAAAATTCGACCTCTACCTGTCCTCACAGTCTATTTCGATTATTACATACAGAAACACAAACTTAGCATAACCCTAGAATTGTATAGGAAGGAGAAAAGTAGTGAGAACATTGATTTTTTTTTTAGGGGGGGGGGGGGGGAGGG